ATACTTACCTATGGAATACCTATGCTCTGTGCGCAGGGTAAAATAACTTGTCAATTGCCCTTGACTTGCTTAATTGATTTTTAATTCTTGTTATGCTGTTCCATTTCCGTTACTTTGGCCTATTCATTCATGTTCGGCAATGGCTTGGTGCGGCTGTCCCGGCCTTCCGCCTGGCGCCCCTATCCTCATTCTCCCGGGCTCTAGCGCGTACCTAAGCCTTGTCACATACCATGTTGCTTCTCCTCAAGAGTTTTACCCATCCTTGTAACTACAGCCCCACTAATACTTTTTTTCTCAGGTTCTTGTCAGCTTGTCTAATCTGCAGGCGGCCGTCTCTGATTTGACTCGCGCCTATATCAACCATACCAACACTGTGTTGAACCCTAGTCTCTCTACGCTGGACTTGGGCCACGCCAGCAACATCACTGCTGCACTTTTGGAGAATGGATTGCTGGGCGCACGCTCCAGCAGCCCTGGCGCCAAGTCCGAAGTTGGCGAAAAGAAGAAGCGCAAGCGCGCTCCTCCTGACCCGAACGCACCCAAGCGTGCCCTGACCCCTTACTTCCTGTACATGCAACATAACCGCCCCATCATTGCGCAGGAATTGGGCCCCAGCGCGAGGCCCAAGGATGTTTCCGACGAGGGCACTCGTCGCTGGGCTGAGATGCCCGAGGCGCAGAAAGAGGTATGCCTATGATCCCTTACGGATGACTTGGTAGTACCTACTAACATCATCGGCAGGTCTGGAAGAAGCTTTATGCTGATAATCTGGCCGTCTACAAGGAAAAGGTCAAGGCCTACAAGGCTGGTAAGCCTTGGACTGAGGATGACAACACCAAGGCGGCCAGCCAGCTCCAGCAGGACATTGCTGGCGCATCTGCCTCGGGTGGCGAAGAGTCCGAAGAGGAGCAGGAGGAAGAAGCGGTTGAGGACGAGGAGACGGAAGAGTCCTCTCCGGAGCCGGTCAAGGAGCCCACTCCGCCTCGCAACAACAAGCGCCGCCGCAGCGAGGTGAAGACCCCGTCCAAGAAGAATGAATCCCCCGAGAAGAAGAAGCGCACCTCTGCGCGCAAGGGCATTGAAAAGGACAAGGAGGAGGAGCCACCCGCTTCGACTCGCAAGGCTGCTGGCGCCGACGCCAGCGCCAAGCGCTCCAAGAAGAAGCGCAAGAGCGAGGTTGGCGGTGATGAGTAAATTGGGAACAGATCTTGATTGTTCATAGTTGTCGTGCGCGTATACGGTGCTTGAATGGATATACAGTTTGGCTTGTGCATCTACTGGTTGATAGTTTGTTGCCATGTCTCTTGAATTCCAAAAGTTAAACAACTGTTTGTATTCAGCTAAGATATTCCATGGATGTTTACTCCTGGACGAATAGTTGTAGAGGAAGTCTCGCGCCCGATACTGTTGAGTCCAGCGTCATCGCGCACAAGTCTGATCAAGTAGAGAAGATGAGAATGAGGACGAAAAGAATTAAGCTAGATAGATCATTATTCTTCCCAGCCAGGTTAGCAGGACTGGCAGAATGGGGGCGAAAGCTAAGAGAGTCATGCAGTCACACTATCATCTGTTGATCATTCCGTCGTCTGAGGCAAGGAGAATTGCCTGTTAGTAACAAAATGACGGCCAACTGCCATAGGCCGAACAGCCCTTATCGCAGTCTTATCTCTATCCCCACTCAGGTCTCTCGTTCGCGGTCTCCCTTTGACTGTCTGGACTGGACCGACGGAATGAATGCTTTAAATCCCATCAAGTGCCCCTCTTCTTGTCTGTTTTTGTTTCTAAAGATTTGACAATGCTCAGAATCGTTCATTTATATCTCCCTAGTCTATAGTGATACCCCCTTCCTCATCGCCTGCACTTGGCTGCGGCGGTTGTGATTCGCAGGCCAAGACATCTCCTACCTAGTACTACTCCGTAACCCCGCCCAACTGGCTACTGCACTGTTACCATGCACCTAATTCCCAAGGAGGTACGTGACAGGGACTTGCTACCTACGAAATACATCCACAATAAAGTCAGCACTAACAATTTTGCACTCGCAGCTGGACAAGCTCGTCATTTCGCAATTGGGATTTCTCGCCCAGCGTCGTCTTGCACGCGGTGTGCGACTCAATCATGCAGAGGCAGCGGTATGGGTTTCCCTCTTTTCGCATTGCGCGATACACCTGGTAGGCTCATCAAGGCTAATCCCGTCCAGGCTCTCATCTCGTCGAATCTGCAAGAGGTATATTCCCAATCCGAGCCGGAAACTGGATATCATGGTGCTTACTCGCAGCAGCTGATTCGCGATGGCCACTACTCGGTGGCCGATCTCATGTCCATCGGCAAAACCATGCTCGGCCGTCGCCATGTCCTTCCCTCCGTCGTACATACTCTCGTCGAGCTCCAAGTCGAAGGAACGTTCCCCACCGGCACATACCTCGTGACCGTCCACCATCCCATCAGCAGCGATGACGGCGACCTGGAGAAAGCGTTGTATGGCAGCTTCCTTCCCATTCCACCGGCGGATACGTTCCCAGATCCGAACCCGGACGACTACCTCCCGGAGAAGATGCCAGGTGCTGTCCTGCCAGTGAAGAACGAACGGATCACCCTGAACGATGGCCGCAAGCGCATCAGGCTGAAGGTGATGAGCAAGGGCGATCGCCCAATCCAGGTTCGTTCGTTGTTTCACAGACATACGCGCAACAAGGTTTTTGACTGCGAATAGGTCGGATCCCACTACCACTTCATCGAGACCAACCCCCAGCTTCATTTTGACCGTCTGCGGGCCTACGGATACCGGCTCGATATCCCCGCTGGGACTTCGGTACGATTCGAACCCGGTGACACCAAGACGGTCACGCTGGTCGAGATTGCAGGCAATCGCATCATCAAGGGCGGCAACTTCATTGCCTCGGGAAAGGTTGATATCAGTCGAGCCGAGGAGATCATGCAGCGCTTGCAGGTCGAGGGTTTCGCTCACGTTCCTGAACCCGCACCGACCGCGGACAGTGCGCTGATCGCGCCTTTCACAATGGACCGCGAAGCTTATGCGCGGATGTTTGGACCCACCACCGGGGACCTGCTCCGATTGGGTTTGACCAACCTTTGGGTGCGGGTGGAAAAGGACTGTACGGTTTATGGAGATGAGTGCGCGTTCGGCGGCGGCAAGACCCTTCGCGAGGGCATGGGCCAGTCCTCGGAGAGGTCGGAAGCCGAATGTCTGGACACTGTCATTACGAATGCGCTGATCATTGACTGGAGCGGAATCTACAAGGCTGACATTGGTATCAAGAATGGGCTGATCTCTGCTATCGGCAAGGCTGGCAATCCGGATATGATGGACGGCGTGCATCCGGACATGATCGTGGGCTCATCAACCGACGTCATTGCTGGAGAAAACAAGATTGTGACGGCCGGCGGATTCGATACCCACATTCACTTTATCTGCCCTCAGCAGGTGGACGAAGCGCTTGCTTCTGGCATCACCACATTTTTGGGCGGAGGGACCGGTCCGTCGACGGGCACGAACGCGACGACCTGCACGCCGGGACCCACGCACATGCGCCAGATGATCCAGGCGTGCGACACTCTTCCGATCAACGTCGGTATCACCGGCAAGGGTAATGACTGCGGTGGCAAGAGTATTGAGGAGCAGATTCGTGCCGGAGCGGCCGGCTTGAAGTTGCACGAGGACTGGGGGTCAACCCCTGCCGCGATTGACACCTGCCTGGACATGTGCGACAAATTCGACGTTCAATGCATGATCCATACTGACACACTGAATGAATCCGGCTTCGTGGAGCAGACCGTCAAATCTTTCAAGAACCGCACCATCCACACCTACCACACGGAGGGGGCCGGCGGTGGCCACGCACCCGATATCATCTCCGTCGTGGAGCACCCCAACGTGCTGCCCAGTAGCACCAACCCAACGCGCCCCTTTACCATGAACACCCTGGACGAACACCTGGACATGCTGATGGTCTGTCATCATCTGTCCAAGAACATCCCCGAGGACGTCGCCTTCGCCGAGTCCCGGATCCGCGCCGAGACCATCGCCGCCGAGGACGTCCTGCACGACCTCGGCGCCATCAGCATGATGTCCTCGGACTCGCAGGCCATGGGCCGCTGCGGCGAGGTGATCCTGCGCACCTGGAACACCGCGCACAAGAACAAGGCGCAGCGCGGGCCCCTCAAGGAGGACGAGGGCACCGGCGCGGACAACTTCCGCGTCAAACGCTACATCAGCAAGTATACCATCAACCCGGCCATCGCGCAGGGCATGTCGCACCTGATCGGAAGCGTCGAGGTCGGCAAGCTCGCCGACCTGGTCATCTGGCACCCTAGCACCTTTGGCACCAAGCCCGCCCAGATCCTGAAAAGCGGCATGATCGTCGCCTCGCAGATGGTGCGTCGACCCCCCTTTGTCTGTAGACATCTTACTAACGAGTCGAGCACAGGGCGACCCCAACGGCTCCATCCCGACCATCGAGCCGGTCATCATGCGTCGGCAGTTCGGCGTAAGCTACCCCCTTCGCACCCTGTCATCAAACCATTACTAACAAGTTCAGGCCTTCGTCCCAAGCACATCCATCATGTGGGTCTCCCAGGCCTCCATCGACGACGGCATCGTCCAGTCCTACGGCCTCAAGAAACGCATCGAGGCCGTCAGGAACTGCCGCAACGTCGGCAAGAAGGACATGAAGTTTAATGATGTCATGCCCAAGATGCGGGTTGATCCGGAGAGCTACGTCGTCGAGGCGGACGGGGTGCTCTGCGAGGCGGAGCCGGCGGAGGCGTTGCCCTTGACGCAGGATTATTTCGTTTACTAGGTGCATGCACTTGCACTTGCACTTGCAGTTGGATTGGGTTGGGTTGTTGTTTCTATACCACCGTTTGTTACTAGCATCAGCGTATGAGCGATACCTATACATAATGATTCACGCAGTATATAGTCACATGTGTCTTATCAGTTATCAACACTGCTATGTTATATACATCATCGCAAATGACTACAGTTCAGTCTCCTCCATGCTGTGATTATCCCCCGCCGAAACAAGCCCCATACAAGCCCACGCGTCGTAGCTATCCGCCCGCGCAGCGAGATATGCCGCGCGCCGCGCACGAGACGAGCTGGATCTGTTCAACGTCCGCGATCGTCCCGGCGCTCCCTCCGAGGAGGGCGGTATATCGACGTCGACGTCGCCGGGGCCATCCTGCTGGAGAGGGCCGAGCGTTTGATCCTGCGAGGCGAATGCGGACGAGGAGATCGAGAGGGTGTTTGTTGCTTGGCTGTTGGGCATATCATCCTCGTTATCATCATCGTCACTGTTGTCGTGGTCGTGAACGAACTGCATATTGTCCTGCGTCCGTGTGCGTGTTTCATCCCCCGTTTCAGAGCTTTCCCTATGCGGTAGGTGGAATCCATCTTCTTCCGGTGTGGGCCAGGAGGATGGGAGGGCGCCCAGGTCTATCTCCGGGTGGTGGGATCCCTCTGCATGAAGGAAGTGCCAGGCGCGACGGATCTCGTTGCGTTTCGCTTTTGCTGCTTCCGGGGTGGATTTGGGGATTGGGAGGGGTTGGGGTGAGGCTTTCTTCGATTTGAGGTTTATGGTGGCGTCAGGGGCGGTTTCAAGGGAGGAGAGGGTAGTCGTTGGGCGACGGCGTGCCTGGAGTTCAGACTCGCCGGCATTAGGCATGACAGTAGGACTGCAGTCGATGCTAGTGTCCATGCTGATGGATTGCTGTGTTGACTGGGTTGAGTCATCCTCGTAGCGGGCTCTTTTCCTAGACTGCAATTCCTCGTCGTTGGCGATCGTGTCGCGCATGTACTGGTCGTGGACAAATTCGTGTCCAGAACACAGATGACCGAACAAACTGCGCATGGACACATCTTCGTCCCATTCCAGGGCATCGACGGTGCAGGGGTAGACGTCCCTGGGTTTGAACGCGGAAACCAGTTCGCATAATTCTTCGTAGGAGGAATGGCGCGAGTATGGAAAATACTAGATTTGTCAGCTGAGACGTCTAGATTCCGAAACAAGGATTCATACTATAGTCTTCGGCAGACGATTCCCTGACGTGTCTCGTAGCGCTGATACTTTCACATCGTCCGACCACATCTCCTTATCGGATCGACCACGACCAAGGATGTGCACAAGCTCCTGCAGTGGTATGTCGGAAACATCCTTCATGCCATAACTGTCCAGAGAAAGCGCTTTGTTCTTTGACTTGAAAGCTTCGGTCAAGACCTTTCTCGTCTGTGAGAGCGTTTCAGTGTCGCCGATCTGCTCCAGACACAGGCTCTCCAGTTGCTCCAGCGACGACTGATCCGGAAGTTCAAGCTCGTGGATCTGATAAAGATCGCCACCACCTCCTCCTGCTCCGATCTCAGGGACTCTTGTGCCGTCCTCCATTCGTCCGACAATAGGCATGATGTAGACAGTCCGCTTTGAGCGGACCGCAGAGCAGTGTACTCCAGGCTCGCAGCTATGAACACGAGAGCTTTCGTCTTCGGTCAAGCAACCGGGCACAAATCGGTTTCCAAGCTCGAAACCGCAAAGAGCAGGTGCCTCGCTGATAGCTCTTCGCGAGTTCGAAATAAGTGACCTATATAGGCCGATCTGGTATCGATCAACATGGACCTGCCGGGTCAGTACAAAGCATTTATAGATCTTTGTGCCGTCACACACCTTGGTGTTCAGAAGAGCGGAAAGCGCTATCCAGACGTCTTCGTAGCCAAACGTCCATGCTCGAAAGTAGAAGACGGTCTCCTTTGGGTACGCTTCGACCTTCTGTAGAAGCTCTCTCAGCCCCTCGGCTTTCGACGGAAAGCTCCGACAAACATGATTAATGCGAGCAAACGTGGTGTCGAGATATATCCTGTCCAGCTTCTTGCTCCCTAGGGTGTACGGGATGAGGACCGGATGCCGGACAAGGCTGTCGACCCACCAACGCTCGGCTATTGTCTCTATCAGTATGGAACAGCAAAAAATGCAAAAGCATCGTACCGCGAATATCACCGGTGTAGAGCACTGCCTTGCCGTCACCTTCGATCAGGAACATCACTGCACCAGCGCAGTGGTTCGCGTCGAGGAGGGTGACTCTGATCGACAATAATGGTGTCAACTCAATTTCAGTTGGCGTGTCCAAGGGTATCGGCCGCTGTGAATGTGAGTTGACGGCAAATTGGAGTAAAAACTGAAGATCACTCACCAGAAGCTTGGTCAAATGCTTGTAGTGCAGTCTGCGGGACTCCAGTATCCCCTTGCTGAAGTTCATCCGGTGGGGATACTTTTCAACGCGTAAGAGCAATTCTCGAGTTGCAGCAGAGCAGTAGATAAAAGGAGCCCGGAAGGACTCGAGGCCCTGTAGATGATCACTGTGCACATGGCTGAGAAAACATGCCAGTGGAGGCGGCCGTTTGGGGTTCTTTCGAAAGTAGTCGACTATCATTATGTTCAGCTCAGTATACTGAAGACACTGACAGAGATGATCTTGGCTCACTTTGTATGTAAGGAAACTCTGTAGAGCCGTTAGATAACCTGCTATGAGCTATTCTGCGTGGTGGCCATACCTTGTACTATCCCGTCGAAAGTCGACATTTGGTGTTGCCGGAAGGTATTCTTATTGTATGTACGAGAAACATGACCAAAGAGAAAATCTTACAACAGATCCTGCAATGATGTCCAGGGCTATCTGATACAGAACAGATGGTCGTGAAGGATGAAATAGACGACATGAATTCTTCTTGAAGGGTATTATCACGTGACTTTATCATCCAGTTGAGTACACTTTTTGTTGTCAGAGATGTTGCCTTCAATCTTTGTCATATCCGCTCGATCTACGGAGTAGGCTCTTCTACCTCAATTGAGACAACGGGGAATATGCACAGCCAGGAAGCCTCGTCTTCTTACGGTAAAGAACATCAGATCGGATGCCAACCGACTAGTGAACGCCGGTTTGTACAACACAAGCATCAGCACCAGCTCCATCCTACGTTGAATCGTCTTTCTAACAATGCTGTACTGATACCTGGAACATCTACCAACCAGGACCCTACATGGGTAGCGGCAGGAAGCCCAAAGGAATAAGTCCGACCATCGACCAAGTGGCCATGCAGATACAACATGGTGAGGCGAGTGGACGATAGACCCGCTCGCCAACACAGTCAAGGCCAGGAAAAGATGGACCACAGCTCCATTCTCAGGGTGATTGGGGATAGAATCATCTAACAAGACTAGACTGGTTCCTTTTTATGGTTTCTGCGCCATCACTAGACGGATCCATCAAGGTCTGCAGCAATAGTGACGCCGGTTTATGACGGAAACAAGTGCCCTCGTTGGCCCACAGTGTTGTTCTCCTCTTCTCCGAACTCCACGCAGGTTTCCCTTTTCCTTCTGATGCGCTGGTCAGTTGTATGCGTGTCAGCAGACAAATAGTCGTATCATCATAGTTAATTGTTACTATTTGTTGTCATCGTCGCTGAGAAAAAAAAGAATAATCGCCGACAACAAATATAAAAAAGTTTGCTCTCTTCCTCCCCTTCCCCGTTCTCTTCTTCTCTTGTTTCAAACTCTCTTCATCGGATCAATTCCATTCTCCTGATCCACTAGGGCAATAAAAGGCATCCCTGAGGCTGATCTATTCTCCCGATTCATGATGTATTCCTCCTGTTAGAAAGTTCCGGCTGATCTAGACTCGAGGCCTGGACCGTACTTGAAGCCAAGGCTTCTCTACGGGCTAAGGATCCTTTTCCAGTATCATCACGAGTTCTCCCTTTTGAGTACTCGAGTTGATATCCAATGAGACAGGATACACGACGGAAAAGTCAGAGGAAAGACCAATACACTTGTGGTCTTACACCGTTATCAGCGTCATCGTCATCGTTGTCATTGTCCGTTGTTGAGATTTGTTACGATAACGACCGCCAAATAGTATCAAAAACTCCACACTCGACCCGACGGACGATCTATATCAGCACTACCTTATTATCGACCATTGTTTACAAACTTCCCCTTTTTCTTTGTCTCTTTTCTACCGGCCTCACGCCTAAATCGCCTTCATTTGCAGTTCTCCTGTCCGCACTGCGTATCCCCCTCGGCGCATTCCCCTATGCATACTAACATCCGTGCATATTGCTCCCCTTGCTGATCTCTTCTCCTTGCAACTTGCAATAATTTATGAAGCGTGACCTGAAAACATTTTTAGCTCATTCACTGTCCTTTACAATCCACCTTCCAACTCCTCCGACTCCTTACTCATTTGCCTGTCCATCTTGTTTATATCTGAAACTGTTGTTATCAGATCTGGGATTGCCTCCTTTCTCCTCATCTGGTCGCTCACCGCTCCTCTTTCTCCGCACTGTGTAGTTGGGGTTCTTATATGGTCAACCTGACGGACTATTTTATCCCAGAATCTTAACTACCTCAACATCAAACCACTGCAGCCTCATCGACCATGCATAAACCTTCCCTAGCTCAAATTGTGCACAGCGCAATTTTTCCACGACCCCGTACTAGTGATCCGGCTACTTTCTCAGCTCACATCACTCGCAATCTTGTCCCAGAAGTTCGGATAGAGACATCGACTTTCTATGGATCACTGGACAGCATCGAAGCCCAATATCCGGGTCTTGACTATTCCTATGGCCCCCACCGCATGAGATTGAGCCGATTCCCATGGCATCGAAAGCTGTTCAAGGTCTTTGACGAACTTGGCCTGACGGAAGCCGAAATCTCATCGCTCTGTAGATGGGAAGGAACGAAATCCGCGCGCGAACGTTACGAGAAGGAAGAGGGCATCAAGGTGCGAGACACAACTGCCGAAGCCATCCGACCGGCAACGCCGTCCCCGCGACCATCTGTTGAGATTCATTTCAACGGCAGCTCAGATACGGCCAGGGAACCTGAGGTGAAGGTAGACGAACCGTTCGAGGATGTCATCAACACTGGTCACACCGTTGACAACCGCGGAGTTGACCGATTGCCGCAAGTACACAAGGTGGAAGAGGACTCCAGCGACGAGGAGATGGAAAGCTGTGGCGTGGAATTGAACCATCGTCTGCTGGCGGCTACTGCAGCCCGAGAGCAAGGTGCCAATGTCCCACTCGACGAGGACTGGGAGCTGTGGCTGAAGGAGGCCGGGGAACGCGGAAGTTACGCAGACCTGATCAATGCCATCAGAACGGGCCAGCCGTTGAATTTTTTGTCCCACATGGCTACTCCGTTGGCCCAGTTGCGTCGGACAGGCATCACACAAGTCCCGCCATCACTCCCAGAACGTTTCATGACTCCAGCACCACCCAGGGTGCTTTCTTCAAACATTGGCATTCAGCGCCCTCCCAACCCTCCTCCAGGAACTGCACGATAAGGAAAAGCAGCTCACTGGTCTTTCCTTTGTTCTTTCCTCATTTGCGTTACAGATATTGCTAGCGGGCTGGTTTCGGTCTTTGTGGTGCATTTACGGCGCTTTCGCAGTTGTGTCGCTCGTCTCTTTATCATCTTCGGGCGTTCCTAATAATCCCCTTTTCTGCTGTTGATAGATCGTTCTGTTTTTCTTCGTAATCATCGCCAATGCTCTTCCAATACCCCTCAAGTCTTTGTCCATCTGGGAATTTTTGTTTCAGCGTCGCAAAAACACGGGCTCTTTTCTAATTTGCCAATGGTGTGAAATATTTTCAGTTAAGTTTGAACCGGGCACAAAGGGACAGCAAATGCGGTAGAATGTTAAACCAGATTTGATAATATGGTTGGAGGCAATCACTTTTTCTTTTCAACGGTTTAGAAAACGCTGGTCGGGCAATGGGGAGATTATCAAAAATTCCATGTCTGCTTGGAGCTACCTCATGCTATCTCCGCGTCTAAGCTCCCCGCAGTCTTCAACTGCGACATCGTCCCCAGAGCCATAGCACCCTGAACACTTTCATGGACTATTGCCATGGACAAGGATCTATGATACTGGCATAGAAAAATGCTGTGATCATGCTTCCAGCTACCCTGCTGATCTTCAATCCAATGACTTTGACAATTGCAGTCCCGCACCCTGTTCTTCATAGCTTCGACTCATCATGATCAGGGCCATATTCTACAGCAAATTCGACACCCAAGAGGGTAATTAAATAATCCATCAACCTCATAACCACGACCTAAGAAAGACTGACTGTTCCAGGCCCCAAGGTTGTCCACCAAGTCCCCGACGGAGCCATCGTACCCTCTGCGACCGCGCCCTCGCAGCCTCTCTTCCTGACGTTTTCCGACATCTCCTTCTTCGTGATTCCCCGGCAAGAGCTCTGCGGCAATCTGATTCAGGTGTGCACAAATGGATACCGGATATTGGGCTACCCGATCTGCATGAAATCGCTCCGGTATGACCGCAATGAGTTCATCTTCAACTTCTGCCTGGTTCTGGCTGAGGAGGAGGACTTCAGCTCGTACAAAAGCGTGGTGCAGAAGCTTGCGGATCTGATGCATGGGCTGGAAGAGCAGAATGGATTCTTGTCTAGGGATCATTCGAAAAGTGGAGAGGGGAAGGTATACAGTTTGTGCGAGACATTGATGGAGGATTTGAACAACTATTGCGAGTGCATGATTCCGATAGGTACATTGCCTTCTTCGCGAGGCTGAGGGAGGCCTGATCGCTGACGATCCATGCAGATGAATTGAACACGCTGAATATCAAGCTGTTCCCTGTATACCGTGCTCCTCCCCAGGTGCGAGCCTGGCAGGTCCCTCTCTTCACGGTCCGGTACCAGGCGTTTATGGATGAGAATTGGGATCTGACCATGCAACGGGTACGCCTGCAACAGATGCGACATCTAGAACAAAGCTAACGCAGGATAGATCGTGCCCCATATCAATGGCGTCAACAGCATCCGCATCATCTCCATCCTCGCAGACACTGACTTCTCCCTCACCTGCCGCGCGATCCGCCATCTCCTCTACTACGGCTGCCTATTCCTGCTAGACATATTCTCCTTCTCAGCAATATACGCGCCCACCGCCCAATTCAGCTCTACCATCGCCTCCGACGAAGAAATGCAGCGCGAATGCGCCCGCTACGTCAACACGCTCTTCGCTCCGTCCCTCGTCCACGGAAGCACCGGTGCCGCCACTGCACCGTCCGCCTCGACTTCTGCCCTCTCACCCGCCGCCCACGGCCTCACAAACGCCCACGTTTCCGGCATCCCAGGCAACCTCGTCGGCCTCGCCAAGTACGACCCGGACTCTGTGTGGCCCCCGGTAGCCGACTACCGCGACCGGCGAAGCACAAGCCGAACACCCAGTCCAAGCTCGAGCTACCGCTCCAGCACCACAACACCCTCCATCACGACCATCCTCCCAGACGACCACGACCCCACGCAGCCCCCACCTCCCCCGGAACTGGTCGATGGCGTGGGCATCGTCGAGCTCTACGCAAGCCTCAAGCAGGGACAGAGCGTGCGGCAATGGTACGCCCAGAACAGCCGCAAGCTCGCCCACATCGACATCCGGCGCTTCATCACGTTCGGTATCATTAAAGGGTTTCTATACCGGGTCCACAAGTACGCCTACGCGACGGGCCAGCCCGCCCCGCAGCTGAAGTCCTCCCATCATTACCATAACTCGCAATCGCAGCCGCCATCGGGACCCTCGTCCAGAGGACCGGGCACAGGGACGAATAGTCCCTATGCGTCGAGCGTGGGCGATGACGCGGCACCGATTGCCCAGCAGCAGCAGCAGCAGCATCATCAGCACCAGCACTCTGGTCAGCGTGGGGATCACGCGAGGGAGCATGCAACGTCTGTGCATAGCGGGAGTCGCTCCGCGGTCGTCTTTGACGACGAGGACGAAGAGGAGCTCGTGGATAACAAAACGCTGTCTAAATATCTGGACGGCATGCATTGTTTTGATCAGATTTGTACTGAGCTGGAGATCAGTGAGAAGGACCTAACAGCGGCGCTGAAGAGATACCCGGGGGAGGTCCTGATTATACACCGATGACGTTCTATATGCTACAAGAATAATTGATACCCTTTTACGATGATCTAACCGCTACAGTTATTGAGAGGAGACGCAGATGTAGATTATTCCACCAGGGAAATAAATTTCATTAGTCATTCGTCTGGCCGCCAGCAAAAAGCCCAAACCAAGTCACGACCGCCGGTGCGTTGCCAAGTTTCCACAGGGGACAGCGACACTTGGCAGTCGCCGACATTGGCGAGGGTTGCTGCGTCCTTGACGCAGGAGGTCGTAAACCAGCGCTATCAAGCGCGAAAAAAGTAAAGGAGACCAGTACTCATTCCCAAGCCCCCTCTCAACGCCGCCATTATACAGGGGTATGTGGTAATACACAAAACGAAAAAGAAAAAGAAAGATAAGACAAAAAAGCCAACCGACCACAGCAAGGACCGAGCACAGGAGTGCAGGTCTGCCGGCACGATTTGGGTAAAAACGGCCGGCAGACCTACTCCTGCTCCTCGTCCCAGCCCTCGAGCTCGGCCTTCTCGTATTCGGCCATGACGGTCGGGTCGAAGACGGTCTCGCCCTTGCCGGGGACCGAAGTCTTCGAGTCCTTGAAGATGGGCCCGATGCACTCCTCCCAGCGCTTGCGCCGGTCCATGAGGGTCCGAGCCACGTCGCCAATGGCAGGCCGGCTCACACCTGCACCACTGGCGACATGGCTGCCACCGCCGGCACCACCAGGCCGGTGCTTAGCCTGGGAGCCTTTCTTGCTCTTACCCAGAGTGCGGGTGCGCTTGAGATAAGCTTGCTGAACCTGGGAGTCGAGGTCGTCGTGGATGGTGGTATATTCCTGGTGTGCCATGCGTTCACGAGCGATATCTAGTAGCCGCGCCTTGCGGGCATTGTTGGTAATCATTTGCTTTTTGAGTTCGCTCTGGAGCAGACGCAAACGCTGTGCAATATCATCGTCGTAATGGGCATCGTAATCCGGATTGTCATCCTCGCCGAGAAAGCCAATGTGGCGTAGCTCTGCTTTGAGACGCTCGTCAAGCTGAGCATGGTCGAGCTTGGCTGCCGGGACCTTGAAGCCGCTAGGAGAAGCATCGGGGAAAGAAGTCGCGGACGGAAGTGGCTTGCTGTCTGATTCACCAGCTGGCTGATCGATATCCATGGAATCTCCGTTAAAGAAGTTACTGGTGGAAGCCTCTCCATTGGCAGCACCAGTCGCGGAGTTTTCGTCGGGATCTGCACGGTGTTCGTAGCGAAGAAGGGAATAGAGGCGGCTGACCAAGGGTCCGACCGAGACCTTGTCAGTTTCAACGGTCTCGTCAGTGACCTGATCGATGCTGCCGCGTCCCTGGTTCAGAGGAAGACGTTCGCGATCGCCGTTGGCTTGATCCACGTTCATCAGTCCATCCTCTTCGGCCCAAATCTCGGTGTAGTGCTTCTTGCCGCGAGGAGGCATGATAAAAGGAGTAGTGCGATCACCCTGGTTGATTGTTAGCTAACGGGAAACTGCCTTCCGGAATGACAATGAAACTAACCTTTTCTTTCAAGAACGCAATGTCCTCCTCGGTCAGGGGACGCACGTAAGGTTCGATGTAAGAGAGAAAGGTGTTGGCGCTGACTTGATTGGTAGGTTTGGCGTTGCTGAAATCCTTGTCTGGAGGAACGCCAGCCATCATGTGGCTCAGATCACTCTTTGGGAAACGGTTGACGCAATAGATCTCCTTCTTCTCCTCATCTGTCATATCGGGGGTGACTTCACGAATGTGGTAGATGGTAGGATCATCGAATTTGAGCGGGTTTGGACCAAACACCTGAACTTGAGGAATGGCCGGAGCGGGTTCAGGCTGGTGCTCATCGCTGTCGTCCTCGGAGGGAGACTCGGCAGTAGCAGAAGCTTCGCCAGCAGTAGCAGTGTGTTTGGGAGATGTCAGGGACGAGGGACAAGTGGGGGAGGTGACTTCAGAAGCCATATTCTTCGACTTCTTGGAGGCTGGGGAAGCGGCTAGGTTTGGCTCGTTAGCTAGATCCATGTTTGAAGCTGAAGTCCAAGACAGGATGAAAGGTACAGAGATGGAGAAGGAATGCCAAGGGAGAAGGGGAAGATGGAGGAATTCGTGTTGTTATGAAAGGGAAAGTCCAGTGAGAAAGGTTGGCAGGGACGTGTCATCGTGTGAATGTCACAACAAAAAGGCATAACAAAACGTACCTCCTTCGACCTTTGTCTCGGCGCCGTCCTGACGGGCGATGTCATGAGCACCATGCGCCAACGGACGGTCCTCCTTTGTGCTTCCTCCACGCTCCCTACGCTTCTTCAGTTTTCCTCCCTTAGAGGCTCTGATAGGTTCCTCTTCCTCATCGTCGACATCGCGCTTCACCTTGGATGCAGTCTCGCGGTCGTATGTTTCCTGGTCTTCAACAACCTCTTTGCGCTTCTGCGAGAGCTCTCTAATACCGGCATCGCAGGCATCAACACGAGCCTCTGCTAGCTGACTGAGAGTCTTGAGGTGTTCCATCAACGACTCGAGAGACTTAGAATCAGGGATCGGACCAACACCGCTCATACGGTCGAGGATTTCGCCATACTGGATAGTGCCCGGAATGAGCAGCTTCGAAACGTCAACGTCGAGGTAACTGGCCTGCGCGGATGTTGCACCAGCACTGAAGCTTGAATTGGGGGTGGTGTTGCGGCTTCGCGTGGGACGGACTTCGCGGCCTTTGCCTTTGCCTTTGTTGGCACCTGGCATTTTGAGACAGTTAAGGTACGTGATGTCAAGGAAGGATTCAGGTGAGGAATCGAGAGGACAAGAGTGATGGTGAGAGGGAAGGGATTCAGAGGCACAACTCGTCACTGAAGTGGTATTATCTTGCTCAAAGACCAAGGGGTCCAGAGCTTGATAAGTGCTTGATGAATACCTGCCCTCTAGAGCATACTAGATGCAAGAATTTGCAGACGGAATGGTCGAGGAGAGAGTGTGTGTGGTGTTGGGTGGGATGTTTCCTGGAGCTGATCGTTATCGCAGTGTTGATAGAGATGTAGGCACGTGATCCTGCTCACGTGAAGATACGGGCTTCAGTCCTTCCGTTTTGGGGTGATAAGAGTCACCAGCCAAGCAATTCACGGTTTCTACTACGTCTCAGGGGTACCGATATTCACGTTACGGACTTGATTATCCTTCCTTGGTAGCTGAGAGTGATAGGACATGATCAACGGACTTGAGTCTTGTCTTGAAGTGGAGATGTGGACTGATCTATCATCTATCAAGAGTGCTCCGTACTGTACCCTTCCTTGCAGGAGCTCCACTTGTCGATCAGCGTGGGATGAGCACAGACAGCTTGCCTAGGAACAGACCGGATGACGGATATGACTGAAGATTCTGCTGATGATACCGTGGCAGACCGTATCATCTGCAGGCACAGGCATACTGTGAACCCCTCTGTTCAAACTCCTCCCATCCTGTTCAAAATCGGTTTTTCGATGTGTGGCCCAGTCCCCGCAAACGTCATCAGAGTCTGACCGCAAACGGCATTTCTATCTTTGATCAAGGAGCTGATTCAGAATTTGCACACTGACAACTGGGAAGAAGAAAAAGGGAAAAAAAAAAGATTAGGCCAAAAGGACAGTCGGTACGATGGGTCTTGTTCTCATACGGTACCTGAGTAGAAGACCTTATTGGGATGATCGTCGATTTCGGGTACTATAATATTTATCTATCACCTGCAACTATTGAGAACAACCTTTTGGCCTTTTCCCTCCTCCCTTTAGATACATCTCTGTATTCTGCTCTTGCATTTTCCTGATTGAAAAAGCTATGCATATGCATTACAACCTCTTGGCATTTTATTAATCGTGCGAAATGTTGTCTTCTACTCGATCTTGACCTTTTATATTCTTCGACGCCATTCATTGATCCAGAGCGGCAGCGGTGTGGTATACCGCAAGCATGTGTATGACCCCTCATCTTCATTCTCGGATTGTGCACTGAGCCTCTTTTCCTTTGCAATATTGGTCTATACCTCTGGTATAGCCATGCGCTTTGGACAGTGGCTTGTTGTTGGAAATTGGGCTGACCATGTTTGACCATCATAGCCGCCCAATCGCTAGCCACGGCTCCGATGTTTTTCGAAGGATCTGGGAGAGTAACGAATGCAACTCGAGCACTCAATGTATGTTTCACCAGTGGTACAGGTCAATCATGAATCAATGTCAGCAAATGGGTTGCCCGCTTACATTGCGGCTACCAACAGGAAACCGATAGCCTCCATGTAGTGCTTGACGGGACAATCCAGACGCTATCTACTCAAAATGCACCAGACAAGGGTCCAGTAAGAGGACTACTCTTTGTCCCTAGCCTTAATCCTCAGGATCCATGCACCAATGCCACAGCATCGCTTGTGCCGTCCAACTCGACTCGCCATAGCCATGTCGCTCCGTTGAACTTCCCCAACATCGGCTTAGCGCCGTGGGTATCTATCGAATGTACACAGTCATTTCTTAATGCGTCGCAACAACAAGGCGTGGAAGCGCTGATCTTCTTTCTACCTTCAACCAACGACTCGAAGCCGCCTGCGCCGGAGGATTCTATCTGGAACCTGGGTGATGATGGAGCATGGAAGAGTCAGAACAACTATCCAGTCTATGCGATCCCCGGTCCTGCTGGAGAGACACTCATGCAGCAGCTGTCGTGGTACTCTGATAATGCGACGTTGGTCGGATTTGATACGGATAGCAATCTAAATGAGTCTTCTGCCCTGGCTCAGGATCAGCATGGTATCGTTCGATTGTTTGCTCTCATAGATTACGGTAAGACGACCCATAGTTCACAAGGAATAATACAGATATGCGGGATCCGTTCAGCTGACTTTGCTCTGCCTCGTCTGCAGCGGAGGATCATCGAAACATGCCCAGTCTCTGGGGGTTCATCCTCGCAATTTTGGGAATGGTACTGGTTCTCAGTATTATCATCCTACTATGTTATCAATTCGTGCAGAAGAGACGCCGACTAGCCCTCGAACGTCGCATCTCTGCCGGCGAAGCGGATATTGAAAATTTCGGGCTACATCATATCAGGGTTTCGCGGGAGGTTCTTGATCAGATCCCCACATACGTTTACCCCTCTGTCAACATTCCCTCAAAAGCGTCTTTGAGAGGCAGCCCTAGTCAAACCCAGATCACACTGGCAAGAGCCGATGATACAAGTTCGATACGATCTGTTGACCACAAAGAGCCTCGTCTAGTCTACAAGGAGACAGAAATGCAAGCAAGCAGTTCCACCATCAGACTACCGGAAACTGCAATTACGTGTGAGAGCAGTCGACCTCCCTCCGCGCGAGCGTGCAGCGACTCTGCCAGCAGGTCACAGCCCACCTGTGCAATCTGTCTTGATGACTTTGTCTCGGGAATAACGATCGTGCGGGAACTTCCATGCGGCCATATCTTTCATCCGAGCTGCATCGACGTTTCGCTTACGCAGATAAGCAGTCTTTGCCCGCTGTGTAAGAAAAGCGTTCTACCGGCGGAATACTATACAACGCCTGCGGACGATATGGTAGTTCATCGGGATTATGTCGTGACTGAGCATTGATTGCCAGATTCTACTCGATTGGGGATATATTGTACGGTGTTGCAGTGGGATGATACCCTTGGTTTATGAAAATACTTTAGGTTTATTTAGGTCTTGCTCATCATATAGATGATAATGCATACAGATGAACAAACCAGACTATCCAAAGCGTCTCTGGCCCGAGAAAGTCATTCACCCCATTGTTTGAGGTGTGGTATGGGACATCGAGGCGCGTCGCGCTCAATCACGAATGAGTCCGGGCCTGTCCTCCCCAGCAGATAAAAATGTCGCGCTCGTAGAATCCGTCCCTGTAGCTCGCATTCTCGCGTCACCTGCTGGAGGGCCCCTTCCGCAGGCATCCTGAATGCAACTGTTCAGTGCGTCTCAATCTCAAACGCAGGCAATCGATCTCGATAGGTTCTCCCGCCAATCTACCAACATCGACATCAGCATTATCCAGACCCAAAAAAAGAGGCAAGAAACCTACCAAGCAAACTTGTCATGCTTCCCCTTAACCCTCACATCGAGCACCTCCTCATGGAAAGTCCCTTCCCTCCTCGCCCTCTTCAACCTCTTCACCTCATGCTCCTCCAGCCGTCTCCCCACAATCCCCTCCAACTCCTTCCGACTGATCTTCTCCCTCGCCCTGGTCTCCTTGCTCGCTTTGATACGCGGCTTGAACCGCGCCTGCATGCGAATCCGCAGCGTCGTCTCAAACCCAAGACTACTCGCGTCGCCGCGCACCTCGATCACGCGCCCGCTCGCCTTGCTGCTCGACGAGGCCTCCCGCACACACACAAACGCCTCCTTGTCGCCTCCGCCCGTCTGCAGCGCAAACGTACCCGGGATATCGGTCGAGGGGAGCGCAAGGAACGATTCGTAGTGCGAGATGGCGGACGCGGACGCACTCAGGATCCCGTACGTATCGCAGCTTAGGTATCTGTCCCATCACCTATCAGCATCCGTTCCCTCCCTTTCGGGGAATCGTCGTAGACAGGGACGCGTACTTCCCATGATGCCCCTTAAAACTCAACGACTCCGTCCCCGCCACCCTCGTCGCAACCCACACCTGCCGCACATCATGCGGCTCCGCCGTCGCCGCATCCCCCTCAATCAGATTCTCTAGCTCGCTGGCAAACACCTTCCCGTTTGCATCGCTCGCGATACACGTTGGCGGATCGGACGGCAGAACGAGCACCACGGGTCCTGCGATATCCGACGCCGTGTCGGCAGACACCCAGCTCTGGTCTTCGGCGCTGTCTTCGAGGTGCTGCGTTTCCTCGGCGGGGGTCCTTGTGGTTGCGCCTGTGTCGGCGCCGAATTTGGATTCTGTGGAGGCGATTTCGCGGTGTTTGCGCTTTTTGGGCTTGTCACCTTTGAAGGTCAATGGTTTGACCATTTTTATTTTCGTTTATTTTTATTGTTTTGGGTCGGGTGAGGGACGGTTTTGGAGGTGTGGGCGGGAGTTAGTGAGTGTTGAAGGATTACGGAGTATTGGAGGTCGAGCGGAGTGGATTGGGATGCAGTCTTTTACAACAATATTAATGGCTTTTACTTTCCTGCGTTCGATTTTACTTTTACAAATTATGAATTGCCAATTACAACAGTTAACTCGAACAGATCAATGAGCATCAAATTCTAATAAATTGCGTAAGAATATTGCGCTGTTGTACTGGTATGCCAGATGGGGATACGTCACTGCTACCTTGGGGACTGATGGCACCAACAAGTCACCAATCCCTCAAGGTCCTCGCTCCCCTATAGGTATAACCAGACCGGCCCTCCCATAAGCCAGGACCAGGATTTGCAAGCACTTGAGATAACTCTCTTTCTATTATTCAAGGAATAATAACATCGCATATGTCATAAATCATTACATGAAGTATGTTCAAAACTCAGTTCTGATCCAACCCAGAATTTTGTCTGACCCCAGCCCAAGTCTATCCAATCAAACCTTTAGTCGAAGACAATGGCGGCCTTGATGGCAGACTTGTTTCTCATCGACTCCAGGCACTGCTCCCACTCTTCGATCTTGAAGACCTTGTTCACGATGCCGTTGACCTTGACCTTGCCCGTGTCAAGGTAGTCGATGGCAGCAGGGAACTTGTACACCTCGGAGAAACTGCCGACAATGTTGATCTCGTCACCGACTAACGTGTTTGTTAGCAAGCACTCGGCGGAAGCAAGGGGAAGAAGAACTTACAGATCTTGGCAGGGGGCCATGAGACACGGTCCTTGTTGGCGTACACACCGTACACGACGAGCTTACCGCCGCGACGGACATAGTTGATGGAGTCGTTGAGTATGTTGAGGTTACCAGTGGCTTCGACAACAATGTCAAAGCCATACGGGTTCTCCGACTTGAGCTTCTCGAACTGAGCGGAGGGGTCCTTGCGGGACAGGGCGACGTATTCGTCACCGGCACCGAGGTTCTTGGCCAGGTCCATCTTGAGACCCTCAGGAGCAACAACAGTAACCTTGCATCCACCGTTAAGACGGAGCATCTGAGCAAGGATCTACACAGAGTTAGTTTCCCGTTATGTCACAGCTACCAGCCCTGAAACCACATACCAGACCAGTGGGGCCAGCACCGAACAGCAGAACGGAAGAGCCCATCTTGGGAGCAATCTTGTCCAGACCGTGGGCGGCGCAGGAAGCAGGCTCGAGGAGAGTGGCGTCGACATCGGAGAGGTTCTTGATCTTGAAGACTCTCTTGGCTACAGTGTGGTATGGTTAGTTGCACGATTCTGTGGTTGGGTCACGGCTATACAACATACCAGGGTAGGCACAGTACTCGGCAAAACCACCGTTCATGGTGACACCATGAGCCTCAAAGTGCTCGCAGAACAGCTCATCACCGCGACGGCAGTAGAAGCACTCGCCGCAGAGCTCAGAGTTATCGGCAACAACCCGCTCACCAATCTCGAAGCCCTTGACCTTGGAACCGACGGCAGCGACAACACCAACAGTCTCATGGCCTGCAGTTGTTAGTCTCGAACCATCGCAATTGTCGACGAGCATCAGGCATACCAGGAACCAGGGGGAACTTGGCGATGAATTCACCCTCGTGGATGTGCAGATCGGTACCGCAGACACCGCAAGCCTTGACCTTGATCTATACATGCATTATTGGTCAGCCATCCGATCTTGAGGTGTGCAGAATAACGATTGAGTCGACAACATACCAAGACATCGTTCTCACGGAGGGTGGGCAGAGGGACCTGGACAACGCTGTGGACCTCAGGCTTCTCATATCTGAGAGCCTTCATGGTCTGAGGAAGATTGGAACCCATTGTGATTGATGTGAGGTGGGATGAAGCCTTGCGCTCTATAACCCCCGGCAGTCAATATCAGATAGGCAAGACTCGATGAAGAGGACAAACGAAGTAAGTTAAACTCACCAAGAAAGGAGGATAAGGGAAGCAGGGAAGAAAGCGAAGAGGATGAAGATGAAGAAGAGGAAGATGGAGAGAAGATGAGGAAGAAAGAGAAGACAAGAGGAGGAAAGACAAGCCTACTTATTATTTCAAGGGACCCAAATCCCAAACAGTGAAGGAGGGGAATTGAGGGGGAACAGCAAAAGCTAACCTCAGGCATGCATTTTCCGGTGCCAATGAAGTCAGACTGTCCATCTTTTCCTCCATTCATCAAATCTACCAGACCAGAGCAGGTCAAGCACCAACTGTATCGGAATCAGCCATCGACGGAAGCTGGTGCTAGACTCGGGACACTACGCTCCATCCCAGTGGGTCTAGCACAAACAGCCCAGAGTCCCACTGTCAGGTGATGTCCTTGTGCCTCCAGCCCGGTTCCCCGAAGCTACTGGCAAAAAAGTAATCTGATTATTCACGCTGGTGGTAATCTTTATTTTCAAGTTGATCAATTCAATATCTACCCACGATATCAATTGACTTTATGCGTCAGGTCCAAACTCCAAAGTTCAATCAATTGACACCAGGGCAGTGACCGACGTATACACTGCACCTGCACCGTGTACTCCGTACCGGTGGACCATTCCCAAATTACACACCATCGGTATTCCCAATACGATATCTCCATCTCGACTATCAGAGCAAACCTTCACAAAACATCAAGGTACACAAGAAGCAAGTGAATAAAATGACTTCACCTGGGGAGATAGAGCTGCATATCAGCTCTTGACCCTTGGGATTTATCTGGACACTAATCCACCACATCAAACTACAAAGCACAAACAGTGGAAATCAATTCCTCGGTGGCAGAGCTCCCGTATCCGCAATGACGTTCCTCCCCCACAGACTCTCCTAGAATGTCCCCGTTTTGGCCCCGCTATGACCTCGTCATAGGCAAACTTTTGGTTGTCGCTGTTAGAGCGCATATTGTTGTTCCTGACTAGATAGAAAGTAAACAATAACAACAACAAGAATAATATGGCGGCATGATTCACCTGCAAACAGATTTAAACAAATACGACACACTGTACCTTCAGCATGTCCAGTCTCTACCTTTACCCCCAGGAGCTTGACCACCTACCTGTACTCCATACGTCCACAAGGATATCGCACACCGCTTCTCCACAACAGCTGTCTACTGCACAGTCTGCACTACTGTACTGTAGGTGTAGGTGGGATGCTGATACTTACTGACTGCGACAATAATGCACCGCATACCCGAACAGTAAACTGCTCTGATCTTTCGTCGGGTATCGACTATCCTATTATCTTTGTTTATTTTTTCTGTCCCTGGACCCCGAAGGTCAATGGCTCGGCTGCTCGCTTGCCAGTGTCCCATGACCTGAAAACAGATCGAATCCTTACACCGATTAAGCATGAATAGATGACCTGGATCTTCACTCGTCGGACATATCGACTGTCAACGGTGAGATTTTCGGGTCTAGAACTCTTCTAACCCCACGCCAATCTGGGGGCGCTCAATAATGAGACCGCTAGACGCGTCTCAGCTTTTTATTTTGATGACCCTCTCTTTGCTTTTCTTGGATCCCGCATCATGTGACAGACTAGAACAGCTACGACCATGAGACA